TTGATTTGGACTTCTCAACCTCCAGAACACTGAAAAATATATCTGTTGTTCATAAGCAACTCCGTTTATGGTATTTTTTTAAATAGCAGCTCAGGTGGACTAAGAGGGCTGGTCACTTGGGGGCCCAGACGCCATGCTTTGAGGAAGCCTCAGCGTCGCACAGGAAGATGAGCTGAATGCACTTGCAAGGGTGAGCTAGAGAACACAGCACAGCCAGCTTTCTGGGAAAAACCAAAACCCTGATTTACAGTGTTTGTAAATTTCTGGGGTTAGAATCCTCCCAGCTATGGACAGTTCTAAAAATGTCACACAAACCACTTCTCTCATGAACTGGCATGATCTGGCCCCAGCACATCACAAGGTCCCATCCCTCAGCCCCGTGAGAGCTCCCAGTTGAGCCAGCACTGCCTGCGCCTGTGCGCGAGTGCCTCAGCCCTGAGGTCTTCAGATCCCAGCAGAACCTCGCCTCTGATGCCCGTGGAAGGAGCCCGGCCCCAGTTGCCAACGTATGAGTGAAGACCTGATCGTGCTGTTTCAATCCACTATGTTTGGGGCGTCTTTTCACACAGCAGTAGATGAACAGAGGGCATTTTCACAGTCTCGGCGAGAAGCTGGACTTGTGTATTTTTGTATGTGTAAACTTCCGCTTCTCTAAAATATTGGTGAAGTAGGACTGAATCCTCTCACCTTATTCTCAAAGTGTCACAAAGAGCCCATCGTCATGGCAGCACGGAATTGCGGACTCTTTGGAGTGACCGAAGAACCCCCTCACCCATTCTTAAATTCTTCCTGCTGGGAGCACAGGTGGTGTGGGAGCCAGGTGGAGTCTCAACCTCTCCCCGCAGTGACAGACTCAGAGGTGGCCATGGGACTGGGGAGTTGGCTGGAACAACAGGGAAAGAAGTAGGGATATTCTCCAGGAGATTAGCTACGAAGGTCATAGAGAGATGACCACGATTCACATGGCTGTCACCTGGGGAGAGATCCCAAAGTAAGATCAAGAGAAACAAAGAGGAAAAAAGGTGAAGACAACAACGTAATTCATGTTTTGAGTCCTTGGACCAAACATTTCCTAAAGCCAGAATTCCTAAGTATGGGAGTGAAAATGTTGACTCAGGGCTGGGCAAGGTAGCTCAGCTTGTAATCCTAACAGTTTGGGAGACTGAGGAGGAAGAATTGCTTAAGGCCAGGAGTTTGAGACTAATTTGGGCCACATAGCAAGACCCCTGCCTCTTAAAAAAAAAAGATGACTCAGCTTGACATGATTTCTAATGTTTTACTCCAAGACCCCACTAACATGCCTGAAAAAGGTAAAAAATACCAAACTCGGAGAACCTGAGGCAAAGACGGTGCAGTGCACAAGGACAGGAGATGAGAGCAGATGACAGGTGTCACGCGGACAGCTTGGGCCTCAGGCTCCCTGGCGATTCCCATGCACAGCCCCAGGGAAGAAGAGCCTTGTTGATGTTGATCAGCAGGGAAGGAGGGACGGCTATGACAGAGGCTGGAGGACAGCGGGTGAGTCAGGGATGGGGAGCTTCATAGTTGATGTTTAGAAATGGAGGAATTCCAGGTGGTGGCAGGAGTCAGTGGGTGGCCATGGGGTGGAGGACTAGGACAAAGAGGACGGGGAGTCACTGTTATCCAGGAGGACAAAGCAGTGAGAGGCCGGGAGGGTGACTGGCCAGGTAACATTAGAGTGAAAGATCGTTTCCCATAATCTTCAGTTTCTTAGTGAGTTGAGTGACTTTGAGCAGCAAAGGGGAAAACTGCACAGGTTTAGAAAAGAGAACAAGTAGTTATCTGATTTCGTCCATTCTGGTCCTGCCTGTAAGAAGAGTTCAGGGTCTCAAACAGAGAAACAGAAAAGAAAAAAACACCAATGCCTTGCGTTAAAGAAAAATTCACAAGACTTTTAAGAAATGGCAAGGAAGTATTTATTGAAGATTGTTGAAATAGGAGTCAAACCGTTGCCATAGGGTGAGCCGTTGAACTCAACTGTCCTGAAGCCCAAGGCAGGAATACGTAGGCCCTGGGTTAAGCTAGTGGAAAGGTTCTGGTGGTTGTTGGTGGGGAAGTTGAGCAGTGTGATTGGGCCATCTGTGTTTGCTAATTTATTAGGAGATGGGCCCCTATCCTCCCACAGAGACAAGGCTGCTATCCCCATGGGTAATTACTTTTATAGGGATGAGGCATCTGACTTACTCTTTACTGTTCTACCACTGAAGTGATTTAAGGTAGACAATGTCTTGTATGTCATCAGTAAACATAGAGTGCATCCAAATGAACATTTTTGGGTCTCACTTGAGGCCGAGCAAGTTGCCCTGGTTGTTTGGAGACCCTCACGCCTCTCCCTGAATTCTCTGTCCCAGAGTTTGCAGCAGTCATCGCCCACCCTAGACTGCAGTAACAGACGCCACATGTGGTGCTCCCAGTGTGCCTTTATCCACACAGAGGAGCAGGGAGGCTCCATCCTCGTCTGGCCCTTTCCGTTGGATGATGGATGCTTCTCAGCACATCAGCCTGAAATCTCCTCCAACCTTCTCTGTTGCCAACAACAATTCCTCTTAATTCAACAGAGGTTGACCTCCTCCTGCATAGCTCTTGCTCTGATTCTATGTTCTCTACCTAAATTTCTGTGCTAATCATTCTTTTAATCTATTGAAAGTTTGAACATCTTTATGTTTCAGTTTAAGATTCACCATGAAATCTATCCTTGGCATTCCAAGACAGAATGGTCTTTTCCTTCTTCCAAAAGTCCTAATGCTTCATTAAACCACATTTTACCCGTCATAGTCTCCTATATTTTAATCCTTTTAATTAGTTTTAATTAGCTTTTTTAAGGAATGCTGTCACATGGACTAGACACACAGGCTGCTTTACCTCTGTAGGCTTCAGTATCTTTTTTGTAAGCTGTTTAGGAACAACAGTGAAATTTGTATCAATATAAATTTTGAGTACAATTAATTAATGTATTTGAAATTAATTTACTGATCATGTGCAATGTATTAGGTGGTCATCTATGCCCTGTGGTAAGATGATGAGGAAAACATGCAGCTTCCCTCCCAGTGCTGGGAGACCAACGTTCCAGAGAGTAAACGAAATGCACAGAATGTGAGAGAGCTTACAATTCTACAGTTAAAAATAAAGAGAAGAGGGGGATAGAGGTCGTTCGGGGAACTAGTTGCAATTTAAAATTAAGAAATCAGCAAAGCCCTTAGTGACAAAGGGAAGTTCTAGCAGAGACCCCAGGATCTAGGGTGCAAGCCAGGTGCACTTCTGGGTGAAGTGCAGAAACCGCGTGATGGAGTCAGCCCGACTCAGTGGACTGTTAGCAGGAATATGCAGAGTTACAGCAAGAACCGCGTGACTTCAAGTCAGTGGCAGTTACAGGAATCCAAGGAAGACTGTCTGCCTTTCACATCCTGAAACCCAAAATGTCACCTTCACCTTTGATACAAGGGGAAGACTTTGGACCTTTTCTTTGTCGATCACAAAGAATGGGGAATAATCCTACTAGAACCAGTGTCCCTTTCTTTGCAAACTGTAGTTTCTCTTCACTCTTGGAAGTCTTGGGGGCCTTCTATGAATGACCCTCCAGATAAGAGGAGCCATGGCTTGAACAGACAAGTTATTTTTTCCAGCATGTGTAGTAAATTCATAAACTGGAACTGCTAGATCCAAAATATAAGAAATCTGCGGCTCAAGCTGGACTCGTCCCTGGGGCTTTGTGGTCATGTCCTATAGGCCGTTGGCAAGACATCCTCAACTATTGTTAAAGGTACAGTGGGTTTCTCGGGGAGGGACAGAGAGGAGAGACAGGAGGAATGGTCACATCACACCCCAGCAAGATGTCAGCCTGGCCTCAGGTACACCGGGGTTAGGCAGGTACCCTGTCCTCTTGGAGGGGAGGAGGAAGACAGGCTCAGGAAGGTACGGACCCCACATGTGCTGGGCCTGGTGGGGAGGCTGCAGTTGGAGGCAGGACAGCAGGGGGCGCTGTGGCCTTCCCGGCAAATGCTCTGTGCATCTCAGAGGGCGCTCCTGGTCCATTCCCTTTCCCCAGACCTGGTTTCTTGCTCACTCACTGATGTGCAGGATGTTTTGGTTATCAGAGCCTCAGCGCCCTGCAGCAACAACAGGAACGGAAGGTTTCTGATGAAATGTTTTTCCTTTCTTCATTTTTCCCATTGTCCCTTTGAAGCTGTATTTTCCAAGAAGAATCAGGTTCTCAGCAGCTTTAAGGCAACCCAAGAGAGTGCACGTTGCAAAGTGCAGCGGAGCATTTGTGCGTGTGGGTTTTCTGGGTGTGAAGACGACTTTATGGGAGTGAAATCCAGGTCTTAGTAGACGTGGCTGGAGGGTGCTCTAAATAAGGACACCCTGGTGTGGGCTGCCGTGCTTTCTATTCCATGCATCCTGCCTTTGCTAACAACTCATTTCCCTCTTAATTAAAGTTGTTTCAGTGGATGTCCTGTAACCCTGTGTCTTAAAAGGCAAATGTGTGACCTGGACACGTTCAATAAAACTCTAATATTTTGACACAGAGGATGGTGGTTTTTCCCGAGAAATAGTGAGGTTGTGAGTAGCTAAACTGGAAGCTGACATTGTTTCTTTTGCCTAGAATATAAGACTTGTCTTCGAGAGTGAATCCATTCAAAATGAGGCAGAGTGAAAAGACAGAGCAGTGGATGGTGAGATCAGCAGCATCATTTGTGCCTTCGTTTCAATTTGTGTCTGAAGCCATGGCTCCTTCTGAAAAATTCTAGATTTTGGAACTTTAATTTGTTCAAAATTTTAATGTAGGATTCTGGCAGTTGCTTTCTAGTGTCTTGACACAGACACATTTCAAACTTTAAAGAGGGTGTAAACAAAGAAATCTTGTTGCAAGATATTTATTTAGGATCGAGAAAGATGTTGAGGACAAAGTAAAGGAGAAACAACCATTTCCTGTAGCTCTCAAAGCAAATTATGAGCTCATTTTTCTCTGTTCTGCAAGCTCAGCTGCAGAAGCATGTGCAGCTCACACCACCGATGATGACGTTCCCCCCATGACATTCTCTTGGACAGCAGAATGTTAATCTACAAGCGAGCAGCAGTATGTGAAGCTGATACCACCGATGACACAGTTCCCAACACGAAGTTCTGTTCGCTGGCAGAATACTAATCTGCAAGAACAGACCAAACCCCTTGTTGAGCCTGGGAACACAGAGAAAGCAGGAGAAATTGAGCACCAAGGTCAACGGTGGGTGGTAAAGGGAATCTTGGAGAAGTCACATGCTGGTTGACAGGTGATGTTGGCTGCATAGGGGCCGGTAGCTTGTAAAAAAAAAGAGGATCTCACCGAGGCCCTGAGAGGTGCGTCTGATCCCTAACCTCCTGGGACAGGACATCAGGGGCTGTCAGCAGGCTCAGTGTGGAGGCCAAAGATGGCAGTAGTCTCACTGTGGATGCCTCACCCTTTGAGCCATGAAAAATAGCCTGGGCATGTTGGTTCTGAGTGCATGAGGCATGAATCGCCTGTAGGAGGACTGGAGCCTCCCCTAATCTGACCGAAACAGGTGCACGCCACAGAGGCCATTCCAGAGGCATTGGCTCCAGGGCACTCACAATACGTTGGGTACAGCCCGGGAATCTGTAAAAACATGACCCTTGGTGGGGTTATGGCCACAGCAACCTCCCCTGCAACTGGCACCGCCAGCTCTATGACTGGGCTCAGCACACCCTCCCCTCCTATGTAGGCCCTGCTGTGATAAATGTGGGAGGTGGTTGCTGGCCAGCCGGCTCCCGGCCTGCAGGGCACTACTGCCTTCCCTGAGGTATGTGGACTCGCCATGTCCAACTCTTCCCATGGCCTCATCAGGTCACCAATTGTTCGGGCAATAGAGTCGCTGCTGCTATTTCTCTCTGCTTGTAGGCGGGAGCTGAGTTAGGGAAACCATGGCCTCGGCTTTCTGTCACTTGAAAGGACCCAGGTGCCAGGTTTGACCTGTCCTGCGGGTGCTGTTCCCATTTTCCCAGGGAGACATGAGTAGCCACTGTCAGGAGGAATCAGACGTGGGGCATGACTGGAGTCTGGGGACACAGCAGCCCCAGAACCTGTCGCATAGTGCCTGTGTCTATGCGGGCATTGTGTGTAGTGGTTGCCACCTTTTTAACTGGGGATATTGAGCTGCAGCTGCCAGGAAGTTTGTGCCTGCAGAAGCCCATAGCCAGGACGGGTGTGCTTTGTCCAGAGGCTCTGGGAGTCATGATTGGTGGTACTGAGGGCCTCTATATGAAACTCAGAAGCTGGGACCCGGGCATGGCCTGGGAGGCCACCTGCTGAGCCAGCTGCATGCTGTATCCTGCTGTGGCCCCAGTAAGACATGGAGGGCTTCTGCGTGACGGCATCTGTGGGCCTCAGCAGAACGGACAAGTGGGGTGTAGGTGCAGGCAGAATGTCCCAGTATGTGCAGGGCCTGCCACAAAGTGGCTGGCACCCTAATAGTGAAGACTTGGGTTTTAACTGCAAGGGGAATTTGGTGGCCCACTGAGCCACTGAGAACCAGGTGATTTCTAGAATCTTTACAGCAGCGCTGGGCCTGAACTTTGTGTGGGTTGTGGCCCAGCCATGGTTTTGGAGGAAGCCACTAAAACGACCAGCTTGGTTTTCACTTCCTTCTTCTAGGGGCTTCTGAGCAAAATGCTGTCAATGTAATGCTACAGGGTACAGGGGTTCATGCTGAATCACAGGGAGTCCTGGGGGCACGAGTTACGGGCAGTAGCTGGCTTACTGAGACAGCCTGAGTGCAATTTGGTAAATGTGTACTGCGTCCCTTCCAAAGTCAAAGCTAACACAGACTGCGACCCCTCTGTGATGGGAATGAGCAGAATGCATTGGCCAAGTCTCCTGCTGCAAAACGTTGTGCCCTGGGCCTTTGTATGCCCTCTGTTAACTGGACTGTATCTGGGATCAGGACCTTGATAGTCCTGGAGGACAATCTGGTGGCTGCTCTACTTGTATTCCAGCACCAGAGAGTGGTAAGCACTGTTTCCGTCTTATATTTTAGTGGAGAAGACAAACAATAGGCAAAGTTATGATGGATATGATACACTGTGCAGCCAGCGGTTATTATACAGAGTAAAAGGATAACATTGAGTGACCTGGAGTGCCCAGGTGACGCGGTGTTGGGGGCAGGGTGCTGCTCAGTAGTGTCACCATGGCAGCCTCGTTGTGGAGAGAGCATCAGAACAGAGGCCAGGAGGGCCTGGGGGAGTCCTATAGAAACCTGGATGGGTCCAGGAAAAGGGGGAGCAGGTGCAGCAGTCCTGCAGCAGGAGTGTGGCCTGGCCCACGTGGCGGCCTCACCAGCAGCACCCGGAGTGGTTTCAGGAGGTCAAAAAGAACAGATGCGCTGCAGGTGGCTCGAGTCAGTGGTGGCTGCTGGTTCTGCCTTTTCCATCCCCAGCCCAGTGTCCTGAGGTCATTCCCTCCCATGCACAACTGGAGGGGTGGTAACTGCTGGCTGGGGGGCGCTACTCCATGGCAGGGGCGGACTCAGCAGCCCAGGGCCCATCAGGTTCTCAGTCTGTGCTGAGGTTGCACCTGTGCTTTACCTCCTCCTCGCCCACGTGACTCTCAAACTCCAACCCAAATTAGAAGAGAGGGCTCATCTCCTGTGGTCTCTTTCACTTTTCTTTCTGGGCTGCATCAGAACCTTGGCAGAACTCTGGGTTTAAGCAAAAAAAACAGTGTTTTGTCTAAAAATCTTTGCGACACTTTCACTTCTGTGTCCATACATGATCTCCCCAGCCTGAGTTTCCCATTCTTTTCACCAGTGTTGACTCCCAGGCATACTAGACGTGGCTGAAACTCTTCTCTCATCCTCATGCTGTTGAATTTCCAGGGATTATTTAAGCAAGTCTGGACACTTAATAAGAGCCTTGACACCATCAACCTGGACACCATCGGAACCTTGACACCATGTTCTGGGGAAGCTGTGGGTGGGGGTGCAGGTGTGGGTGTGAGAGGAGAGAGGCCTCCAGGAGCAGCAAGGATATTCCCACACATGCTGAGGGTGTCCAGGGGCCCCAGCAGACACAGGGTGTGTGGACCTTGGGCAGGGTTCTGGTCCGTGGTTTTGACCTGGTAGGGAAGGGCAGTCGTGGAACACAGGGTGCACGTTAGCATGGGGCAGGGCGGGAGCTGCGTGGGAGTGAGCTCTGAGGACTGGGCACCTCCCAGCTCTTCAGAGTGCACCGCCCTGTCCCTCCCCTCAGTCCTTTGTCCACTGTCCTGCAGGGAGGCTCCTGGTGCTGCCTGTGTCACACAGCAACTCCTGGACCTGCAGATCCAGCTGCCACAGGCAGGAGGTCCGAGTCCCTGCCCTTTGAATGTCTTTCCCAGCTCCTCTCAGGCTGTCTATGTGTCTGGTGTTGTTGCATTTTACAATACACTATGAGAGAATAAGTCCATTGAGCAGCTTTAAAAATATGGCCCCTACATCCTACATCCGTGGCTCTTCCCAAAGAAAGGAAGGTTTATCTCCTCTCCTCTTGAATCTAGTCTGGGTGATATTTTGACAAGTAAAATAATCCTGACTTAGTGCTGTGTTCTTTTCTGGGATCAGCTACTAATTAACTGATATCTTTCACTTCCTCAGTATGGGATGATTCTGTGGCCTGAAAATTTTCGTCCCTCTGAAATCCGTATGTTTACATCTTAAACCCCAAGGTGATAGCATCAAGAGGTGTGGGCTTTATCCAGTGATCAGATCAGGAGGGCACGGTCCTCCTGAATGGGATTCATGCCCTTGTAGAAGCGACTGCAGAGCACCTCGTCATTCCTTCCACCTTGTGAGGACATGTCACTGAACACAGGTCCCGCGGCTCGCCACTTGCAGCAGCGATAACTGGACGGAGGTGCGGTAGAAAGAGAGCGACTTTATTAACCAAAACTAGTAAGGGGGAAATGGCTGGATTCATATCACAGCAACCATTTCAAGGTTTTGGGGAGAAGGCAAGAGTTTAAAAAGGGGGACTTCAGATGGGAGGCATGCAGGAGTTAAGCTGGGTGTGAGGTCTGTGTGTCTTGTTTCGGTGGCTACCTTGGGTCTCTGTCCACCTGGCTCAAGGGCTGGTGTCTTCTCCACAATGGCTGTGGTGCTGACTAGAGGCCTTGAGGTAATCTGTGGAATATGCCAAGATATGGGAGTCAAAATGTTAACAGCTCATCGTGGTTTCTGACATTTGAATTTAAGACCCAACTAACATGACTGAAAAACATCAAAACTACCAAACTCAGAGAACCTGATGCAAACACAGTGCAGTGCACAAGGACAGGAGATGAGAGCAGAGGACCGGTGTGCTGGGCACAGCCTGGGCATCAGGCTCCCAGGCAAATTATTTGGTGCACAACCCTGTGGGAGAACAGCTTTTTTTTTTTTTGACGCAATCTTGCTCTGTCGCCCAGGCGAAAGTGCAAAGGTGTGATCTTGGCTTATTGCAACCTCTGTCTCCTAGGTTCAAGCCATTCTGATGCCTCAGCCTCCCAAGTAAGTGGGATTACAGGCTCCTGACACCATGCCTGGCTAATTTTTTTTTTTTTTAGTAGAGATGAGGTTTCACCCTGTTGGCCAATCTTGTCTTGAACTCCTGACCTCAGGTGATCCACCTGCCTTGGCCTCCCAAAGTGCTGGGATTACAGGCATGAGCCATTGTGCCCAGCCGAGAACAGCCTTATCGAGGCTGATCAGCAGTGAGGGAGGGATGGCTACATGAGAGGCTGGAAGCACAGCGAATGAGATCAGGGATGGGGAGCTTCTTGGTTGATGTTCAGAGCTGGAGGAATTCCAGGCCCTGGCAGAATTAGTGGGTGTCTAGTGGGTGAAACAAAGATTGTTGGAACAAAGATTATTGAGGGTCACTGTTATTCAAAGGTAAAAGTAGTGAGAGATTGGGAGGGTGACCTGCCAGGTAATATCAGAGTGAACTCTTTTTCCAGGATTCTTAATGAGCTATTTGGCTTTCAGCAGCAAAGAAAAAAATACACATATTCAGAAAAGGGAACAAATCCTTTTTCCATCCGTAACATTCTGCTTTTTCTTGTAAGCAGAGTTCAGAAAAATCAAACAGAGAAACAGAAAAAATAGCCTATGTCTTTTATTTTTGTAAAATAAAATTTCACGCGGATGTTTCAGAAATGCAAGGAAGCATTTATTGAAGACCGTTGCAATAGAAGTCAAAATGTTGCAATAGGGAAAACGGTCGCCCTACACTCTCCTAAAGCCAAAGGCGGGAGAATTTCAGCCCTGCGGGGAGCTAGCGGGATAGTTCTGGAGGTCGTTAGGAGGGAAGTTGCCCAGCGTGATTGGGCCATTTGTGTTGGCTAATTGGTGCTTATTGGAGTTAGGTTTTTATCCTCCTACAGAGACAGGGCTGCTATACCCCTGCATAATTACATTTATAGGGATGAGGCATCTGACTTACTCTTTTATTGTCCTACCGTGTGAGTGGCTCAAGGTAGAAAATCTCTTGTACATCATCAGTGAACCTAGACTGTGCCTGCATCCTGGGGAACAGTTCTGGATCTCATCCAAGGCTGAGCGAGTTGCCCTGTTTGGAGACCCCCACACCTCTCCCTGAATTCTCTGTCCTAGAGTTTGCAGCAGTCATCGCCCACCCTAGACCGCAGCAGCAGACGCCGCATGTGGTGCTCCCAGTGTGCCTTTATCCACACAGAGGAGCAGGGAGGCTCCATTCTCGTCTGGCTCTTTCCCTTGGATTGATGCAGGCTTCTAAGCAAAGAGGTCCGAATTCTACTCCATCCTTCTCTGTTGCAACAGCAATTTCTCTCATTTCAGTGGAGATTGACCTTCTCCTGCCTATCTCTTGCCCTGATGCTATTCTCTCCGTTGAACATGCTGCTCTACTCCTTTGTTAAGTGTCTCCATGTTTTAAATATCTTTATGCTTAACCGTACAATTTTTTATTGCCACTGCAAACCAAAATAATCTCTTTTTTCTTCTAAAGTCCTAATGCTTCATGAAGCCACATTTTGCCCAAGATATTTTTCTGTATTTCTGCCTTTAATGTTTTTTATTTGTTTCTTAAAGGTATGCTATGACAGAAACTAGAAACAAGGACTGTCTTAACTCTGTAGTTTTCAGGTTTATTCTAGACAGTTTTGTAATAACCATGTGATTTTATAATAATATGTGATGTTAGAGATGGTTAATTAATTCACTCATGATGAATTTATTGATCCCCTGTGATGTGTCAGGCACTCATCTGTGCACTGCGGTACGATGAGCCTAACATGCAGTTTCCCTTCCAGCATAAGAAGACAAACGTTACAAAGAGTCAGTGAAGTGTACAGAAGGTGCGATGGTTATAATTCTGAAGTTAGCCATAGAGAGAACCAGAGGGATGGAGGTCACCAGGGGGAACTTGTTGCAGTTTAAAAGTGACAAATTGAGGAAGAACACAGTGACAAAGTGAAGTTTTAGCTGAGACCCCGGAGCTAGGGAGCAAGCCAGGCAGAATTCTTGGTGAAGTGCAGATGACCTGAGATGGAGTCAGCCTGGCCCACGTGACAGTTTAGACCCACATGACAGAGTTAGTTCATGACCGGAGGACTTTGAATCAGTGATAGTGAACCAGAAACCAAAGAAGGGTGCACAGTCTTCACACCTTGAATCCTACTGGGTTCATCACTGTCACTGTCTAAACAAGGGGAAGAGCCGGGACCATTTCTCTGTCAGACCCACTGTGTCCTCCCTCGGATCTAAATTGGGTTCCCTAGCCGTGCAGCATCTCAGTGGGGTGTGTGGACCCCTGAGCTGCCTCTTCAGACAGGCAGAGCCTCAATGTCGGGCTAAACGTGCTCAGAATCTGCATGGGGTGGACGTGGGGAACACCTGCTCCCTTCTCCTGGGCTCTGGGCATTTGTGGTTGATATTGGTGGTCACAGCAGTGTCTGGGCCATGAGACGTCTTAGCCTGTAATGGTGAATAACCCACTAGAGACACGTTCCTTTATTGAAGCCTGTAACCTCTCTGTCCCACTCAAACTCCTTGCGTCATTTTACCAGTGACCCACCCGCTACGAGTAGCCATGGCTTGAATATAGTTTCTTTTTCAAACATGTGTTTTAAATTCGCCAACTACAACTACCAGATCCAGAGAAAATACGAGGGGCTCATGCTGGATTACTGAAAGTGGTCCTGTCCTAAAAGGCCATTTGTAGGACATATGGGACAAGGGTTCAAGGGTCAGTGGGAATCAGGGGAGGGAAAGGGAGAACAGACAGGAGGAAAGGTCATGTCACAGCAAGATGTCAGCCTGGCCCTCAGGGACACTGGGGTTAGGTAGTGACCCTTTCATCTTGCAGGGGAGGAGGAAGACAGGCTCAGGAAGGTGCAGATCCTACCTGTGCTGGGCCTGGTGGGGAGGCTGCAGTAGGAGGCAGGACAGCAGGGGGCGCTGTGGCCTTCCCGGCAAATGCTCTGAGCATCTCAGAGGGCGCTCCTGGTCCATTCCCTTTCCCCAGACCTGGTTTCTTGCTCACTCACTGATGTGCTGAATGTTTTGGTTATCAGAGCCTCAGTGTCCTGCAGCAACAACAGGGCCGCCAAGGTCCTGATGAAATTTATTTCCTCTCTTCTCTTTTCCCCTCCGAAGTTGTATTTTCCAAGTAGAATCAGGTTCTCAGCGGCTTTAAGGCAACCCAAGAGGGTGCACGTTGCAAAGTGCAGTGGAGCATTTGTGCGTGTGGGTTTTCTGGGTGTGAAGACGACTTTATGGGAGTGAAATCCAGGTCTTAGTAGACGTGGCTGGAGGGTGCTCTAAATAAGGACACCCTGGTGTGGGCTGCCGTGCTTTCTGTTCCATGCATCCCGCCTTTGCTAACAACCCATTTCCCTCTTAATTAAAGTTGTTTCAGTGGATCTCCTGTAACCCTATGTCTTAAAAGGCAAATGTGTGACCTGGACACGTTCAATAAAACTCCAATTCTTTAGCACAGACGATGCTGGTTTTCCTGGAGAAGTAACAATTCTGTGACTGCATAAACTTTAAGCTGACCCTGAGTGTTTGCCCAGCACATAATGGATCCGATGAAAATGAGGCAGAGTGAAAAGGCAGAGCAGTGGATGGGGAGATTGGTGGTGAGACTGGACCTTCATTTCAACTGAGGTTTGAAGCTCAAATTCCTGCTTGAAATTCCTAAAAATTTGAATTTTAGTTTGTTCAAAAATTTTATTTAGGTTTCTGGTACGTGTATCCCAAATGTGTTGACACAGAAGCATATCACACATTAAAGAGGTGTGAACACAGAAGTCTTATCAGAAGGCATTTATTTGGGATGAGGAAAGGAAACTGAGGACCGGGTATAGGAGTAACAGCAATTCCCTGGCGCTCTGAAGGCAAATTATGAGCTCGTTTTCCTCTCTTCCGAAGGCTCAGCGGCAGCAGTACGGGTAGCGTACTCCAGGAGCACTGCAAGTCCCTCTTCGGCGTTCTCCAGGAAGGCAGGAGTTTCGTCTGCAGGTGCAGGGCAAGCCCCTCGTTGAACCTACAGACACAGAGAGAGCATCCGAAATTGAGCACCAAGGTCAACAGTGGGTAGTAAAGGGAATCTTGGAGAAGTCACATGCTGACTGATGGGTGATGTTGGCTGCATTAGGGCCGGTAGCATGAACAACCTCCGTCAATAGGAATAAATACACAGAGCAGTGCTGGTCTCACAGGATTTGAGACTCACTCTCATTTGCTTTGATTTTTGTCCTCCAGCCCCATCACACACACACACCTGAACACACTGTTAGGCCCATCCTCAGTCTTTAAGAGATTCTCTATAGACAGAGTAAAATATTCTCCCAATAGTTAAGTCTACTTGTTTAGATCCAGAACGAACTAGTTAGTATGTCTCTCTGTATTTTAAACATAGTGAATTTCATAGACATATCTTGGAATGAAGTTTTGGGAGAAGAAAATCTCTTAGATTTATTTGACTCTCTACTCAATTTATAGATGAGAAAATCAAGGCTCAGAGATGCTAAGTGAAGTCACCTAAGTGACATGGGCCATTGAGACTCCATTCCAGACTCTATCTCCCATCTGTCCCTCTAGACTCTGCAGCTCTGCATGCCAGCCTCTCTCACCTGAAACCTGAAGAGTGGCGCTTTCGTCCCATGCAAAGGAGTCAACCACTTCCTGATCATCTGCTCTAGGCTGCTCCTGGGCTGCAGCTCTTGCCTGGAGTGACTCCGCCTGAGCCTGCAGGGCCACCAGGAGAATGGCAGCAAGGAGAGCAAGGGTCCTCATGGCTGGGGTCACCTGGAGGAGGGACAGCAGGAGCAGATGTGTGGGGAGGGAGGAGCCTGCCTAGAGTTATAGCTGGGAGAACACTCAGAGACAAGAAACCTTCTTGAACCTTCTCAGTGAGAGGAGGTGGACATTTCTTTGGAGAGGGTGTGGGTATCCATTGGCCTCAATGTCCCTCCTTTCCTTCTCTGCTCTCCCAGCTTTCATTCTAGCATGCATCTCTATGTTGAGTGTCTGTGCTAGGTTGGTGTTGATGATGGTGTTGATGAGGACCCTGCCATGTTTTCCTGCTTTCAGCTGCCTAAATATTTTCTCTTACACTATTAAAAGAAAGAGTGCTTTCATTCAATGAATTCAGGGAACAAATGCCTCTTACTTTGTGAAGATGGGCTCTACTCTTCTCTGGAAGTCTAGACCTGGACCCAGTGGTTTTTCATTGCAGGCTTTGAAGTCATTATCACCGTCATGAAGGGGTTTTTGAGGTTATCGGGTGAGGAGTCTCCTATAGGGGCCAGGGTAGAGAGGACAATGACCTCACCAGGCTACAGGTAAAACAAGCTCAGTGATATAAACAGTCATCTAAGGCTAAAATGTGTATTATTTCCATCTCTATTTAGGTGTGAGTGACAAAAATTATATATGTGTAATGTATACTACCTTATGAGTTGACATATGTATATGTTTGGACCTTTATCTTACACCATGTAGAAAAATCAAGTCAAAATGATTAGAAGACCTAAACATAGACCTGAAACCATAAAATGATGAGAGGAACAGATGAAGATAAAGCTTTGGTGTTGCTGTGGGTAATGATTTCTTGGCTATGGCACCAAAGGCACAGGCAACAAGGGGGAAGAGAAACAAGTGGAGATGCATTGAACGCTAATGCATCTGCACAGCAAAAGAAACAATCACGTGAGTGAAAAGGCAACCCAGAAAATGAGAGAAAATACTTGCAAACACTACATGATAGAAAGGGTAAATATCTGAATACATAAGGAAGTCAGACAATTCAATAGCAAAACAAAACAAACAAACAAACAAAAAAAAAACAAAAAAAAACCTGATTGGAAAACAGACCAATGACCTGAATAGACTTCTCTCAAAAGAATGTTCTAAAGAGCTATGATCATCTTTATTGGACATACCAAGTAGGACATGTGTGTTTAGAAGGAAACTGCTTGAGTTTCTCTGTTAACTTAGCTGGTAGCCAATGCCCCCAGCAGCCACCAGAGATTCAGACAGATGTTCACAGCAGGAGATTCGCCTGCTGGGTCCCTCTGGGGTGGCCCGGGATTCACAGTTCAGATTGGGGGCACAGGTTCGATGCTGAAACCTCAATGTGAAGGTTTAAATTTTGTGCTACTTACAGATCCTCAGGCTAGGCAGGGCGAGCAGAGAGGGCAGACAGCAGTCCTGTGTTCCAGGTCTTATGCAGCAAGAGCAGCTGTGCATATCCCAGAGAAGACTTCCCCTATTTATAGGTCTTTGGGGCTCAGGTGTCCTAATTTTCAGGGTTATTTTCTGTTGGGTACATTAAATAACTCTGGTGACAGGGACAGTTGAGAAATTTGGTGTGAAGCTTGGGTTCAAACAGGCATCCACAGAAGGACCTCTCACTTACCTTCATCAGCCCTGGCCAGGTCCAACTAGCAACCAACTATGGAATCTCCATGACTCCTAAGACAATTGAGCCCACAGTGCCTATGCTGGTGGCTGAGGCTGAACTACCTGGACCGAGGGAATATTTAAAGCCACCAGGAAAGGACAGCTTGTGTACTGTAGTATACATTCTGTAAGGAGACTAGGAAAAAAGCTCTAACCTATACACTGAGGAGGGTTTGGGATTTTGTTTTCAATCAGCCTGTGCAGGCCCTGGGGTCTACAATACACATCAAAGCCATTCAGCCAAGCCGAAATGTTGGTGAACACCTGGGTGAGACTGAATACCACCTGGGCTTGTCTTGCTAAGCAGGTCAGGTTTTGCTGGATTCTCCTGAGTTAAGCAAGTACAGGAAGCACGGGGTGCCCTAGAGGGTATAGTTGTCTCCTGCTTGGCAATTAGATACTTTGAGGCTAAATAATTGTCTAGGAGTAAGAGTGGAAGTGTTTTCAGTAATCTTAAGGTGGGATGAGGTGTCTCAGGTCTTGTTAGGGGTGGTTGCTGTTCCAGAGCAGTGGGGTCGCTGTCACTCTGAGGAAGTAGTGAGTTCCTGATCTCTAGCAGGCCCAGGAATTTCACCATTTGAGGAAGTGGCTCTGATTTCATCCCAGCAGAGGAATAAATTAGGGCTCTTTGGGGAACTGGGACTAGGAGATGGTTTTAGGTTCTAGGGCATTAGTAGGTGCCCTGTGAGGGCCCAGTGGATGTGGGTATAGACAGAAAATGAGAAGGGGTGGGCATGTATGTGGGGAAGGTCCCATGGTTGTGGAAACATCCAGTGACCTGCAGAAGTCAAACCTGGACCAGCCTCCTGCACACAGAACACTCCAATCCACAGGCATTTTCTCAGTAACATATGAGAGAACTATTATTGGGAGAGCTGGTTAGATTTGGGTGTGGTGTTGTTAACGCACACATCTCAGAAGCCCATATTTTTTGGCTAACTTGTAGGGCAGCTCCACGATCTGACCTAGTTCCTTTGGTTTCCTTGCTGTTGGAGATATAGCTAATGGGGTTACTCTGAAGACAAATGGTAATCTCACAAAATACCATTGTATTGGGTCATCTGCAGAGTACTCAACAAAGCCTGAGCTAAGGAAGTGGTATGGCAAGGGTCGGCGTATGTGTCATACACCGGCGTCATGTGCTGGGGTAGGGAGTGTAGCAGTAAGGCGTAAGGAGTATCCTATAGTAGTAAGGAAAGATTGCTTTGCTGGTGATCCCACAGTCAAGGCGAGTTTCTTTGGTGTCTCCAATTCCAGCGAGGCCATTGCCTCCCTTGACAACTCCTTGGGCAGGGGCGCTGTCATCTGAAGCCATGGCCATTGCCATGGGGTGGCCTTCCCAGGTGGCCACCCACGAAGCGAAGTGGGGGTCTGGGCATTTGCTTTACTGCTACTGTTGCACAGGCTGTTAGCCCTGTGGGTCTTCAGGGAAGCATTCAGAGAAGGTTGAGCCGTGTTTTCCTTAGTGGTGTAGGACATTTCCATCCACAACACTTATACATCAGAGCACATGCATACCCTTGAGCCTGTGATCATTTTGGAAGCTGTCTCTGCACGTGAGGCTCCAATGTGTAAGCTGCAGTCTGGATTTGTGCTGTGCTGTGGCGTTGTTAGCTGGTTTGAATTCACACCTGGCATTGGGAGGGCCACCTGCTGGTCTTTTTTTTTTTTTTCTTTTAGACGGAGTTTCACTCTTGTTGCCCAGGCTGGAGTACAATGGTGCGATCTCGGCTCATCGCAATCTCTGCCTCCCGGGTTCAAGTGATTCTCCTGTTTCAGCATCCCGAGTAGCTGAGATTACAAGCATGCACCACCATTCCTGGCTAATTTTGTATTTTTAGTAGAGATTGGGTTTCTCCATGTTGGTCAGGCTCGTCTTGAACTCTTGACCTCAGGTGATCCGCCCGCCTCAGCTTCCCAAGGTGCTGGGAGTACAGGCATGAGCCACCTGCCGGTCTTTAAAATGTTATTTGTGATTGTGAAGGCTGCTGGTGTTTAAGCTTTATGCCTTTGGACCCATTCAATATCTAAGGATTGAGCTGCCTGCCTTGGACGGAGGTCAGGTGGCATTTGAGGCACAGCCCCTCTAGCATGGGATTCCAACACTTCCCACCTTTCCAGCCTGGGGTACAAGTTCTGACCAGGGCAGTCCTGTTCTAGCAGTTTTTGGGCTTCGGATCCTGAGTCTGACAGTAGCTCCACAAGCCGTGGGAACACAACATACCAAACAAGATCGACCATAAAGAGCACTGGCATCTTATCACTCAGGACTTCGACATTGACATCGATTATGGGGTTAGCTTTCACCAACATTTCTTCAGAGTCTTTCTCCACCATCAACACAGGCTACATTTGGGAATGATACTTCCACGTGATCATCAGCTAATGTAGACTCTGCCCACTAGTCTGAGGGCTTCTCTTTGTTTAGTGACTCAGTCTGTGCCCTTTCTGGGTCTTGGAACAATAATCCCTACTCCCTCCAGGGAGGGGCGAGTGGGACACATTAGCTACCTTTCAAAGTAGTAAGAACTGGAGCTTTTGCTGGAAGCTGCACATCAAGATGGGAGGTGTGGTGTTGCTGAAGCACTGTGGCCCTGCTGGGTGCCAGTGGGCCTGGGCCATCAGTCCTTAGGGGATCACAGCTTACTATCCATCCACAATCTGTTGTCCAGTAAACGTTTGATGTTGAGACGATGGACCTCTTACCACAGTACGAGGAGTTCTCATTATTGGAGCAAATGTGAATGATACTATCTCTAAGGGAAAAATAACCTGACTCTTCTGTGATTACCAAAGTGCTCACCATGGTGGGTCCAGCCTAATTGTGATGAGGCACTGGTGGCCACAGGGTAGAGAGTTAAGAAAGTTAGGACTCTCAGAAGGAGCTTGGTCCCCTTGGGGTTTCATAGCCCATGCCACAGCTTCAATAAGAATGACTTTAGGAGGCCACTGTGTTGCTTGAGGAGGCTGGTGGCTTGGGGAAAATGGGCCCAGTGAGAGTCCCCTAAACCCTCATGCTGTGGTGCCCATTCCTATGTCACCACCGCTGCCTTGAAGTGGGATCTTGATCAATGATGTTGGGAGGTTTCCGAGAGGGAAATTTCACAGAACAAATGTCACAGCAAGAGAGTACCTGTTACACCAAGCGTCTTGGGTTGGAAGAGTCAATGGAAGTGCGGGGTTGTGTGTCTGCTTCTGCACAGCAGAAGGTGCTGGCCTCAAGGGAGGGACCCAGTGAAGTCAATGTGCTGAAAGGGTGATGGCCCAGGAACAAGGGAGTGCCGGCCACAGCCTGTGTTAACCAGGGCATGGCATCTGCGCTTGAGCATCCCTTGCTTGGCAGGAGATCTGGTGGGAGGCACCAGTGGCCTAGGGTACTCTCTAAAGTGGCCACAGCCCCCAGCGCCAAAAGTTGGGGGCTGCCGCTTTTGTTTGAGGGCCAGGATGCCATTCTCTCCACTGCTTATGCTGCTCTACCCCTTCTTCTAATCTATTCACATTTTCAATATCTTCATATTTCACCATGAAA